GCGAATGAGATCAGACTTGAACAACTTCTGTTCGTAAAAACCTTCACGCTTTCGGCCTGCGAGGCCCCGAATTCCTGCGTTCCCACTGGGAGAGCCTTATGGACCGCAAACGGGAAGGTTTACTGAGTAAATAACATACGGTAGAAAGATCTTTTGAGTTTAGCTGTGGTGTTTTGTTTTTAGTTTGGTTTTGTTTCCCTCAAGGGCTGGTGTGTCACAGCAGTTCTCGGTAAGCACATCGGTGCTTTTCACAGCTGCGTAGGAGTAGGCCAGTGTGCCACGGGCTTCTTGGAGCAAGAACTCCAGGCGTTAGTGTCCTAAATTCTGGGTGCTCCTCTAAATCCTCGGTGCCTCTCCTTCCCCCTCCACCCCGAAACCAGTGGCTGCTCCATTCCTGCCCGGCTGCTGCGGGCCAGGGCTTTACTGCTGCTGAGCTTCGTTTTCCTGTGTGATCGCATCGCTGTCCCCTTTGAATCCTCCCGTTAATCGACAGCTGTAGTATCAAATTTAATCTTGTGATCTCTTCAAAGGTGTACACCTGCTTTTGTCCCTCCTCTCTTTTACTCCCTTCCCAAAGCCTGCGTTGTTTCTGCCCTCCCTGCTCCGCCTTTGTTGTCAGTGTCTGTTCTTTGCTAGCAGCTTTAAACACGTCCTGGGTTCCTTGCGCCCTTATTCTCACACCACTTCTAAAACACTCTTTTCGTGGTGAATCAAGTGAACTTCGATATGCATTGCTCTAAAAATGTCAGGTTCTGTTCTTTCGCGAAACCTTGCTTTCATGCCCGCCCCTAATGCTGCAAGCCCTGTAAAATAGGGAACATCGCAAGTGTCGGGAAAGGCTGCCACATAATGGCTTCTGCAGCTGATTACTGTTAAAAATATGTATATATACTTGCTCATGCTGTCTAGTAATTTGCCAAACTATTTTAAGAAGTTGGATTTAATGTGAATGTCACTGCTCTGCATTTTCTTTTCTTAAACTTTGTCTTGCTCTTCTTTCCATCAATAGACAACAAAGTTTACAAGTGCTTTGGACATACCTGTGGAGTTTGTAGAAAAGAATGTGAAATTGCGGGGAAAGCTACATCACGTAACTGAGAAAGGCCTGGAAGTGGAACACATTCCCATTAGCATTCCTTTCCTTACATCGATACAGAGAAAATGTACGTAAAAGAAGGTGAAGGAGCAGGGTAGGAATGAAACGTTTGTAACGCGGCTACGCAGGGAACAGGTAACGGCGAGCTTGAGGGAAGGGCTGGGGTACAGCTCTGGCTCTGCCTTCTGGTGTTTCCCTACTTTACAGGTGGGAAACTGGGGAATAAAAGAGCTGTGAAAAGAGGTTCCCAATACAGTATTTGTATTAATTAGCATCATTATCGTGATACTCCTCTGGCAGCGCACAGGCAGTTCATTTGCTTGCGTAGCTCATCTCAGTCCTGGCACAAAGACTCTATCGGGATTACGCCTTTATTTACAGGTGAAGATCTGACAGCTACATATGCAAACCCGTCCTTACGGACAGTTTTACTGTGACTTGGCAGAAGCCAGCCACCAAGTCCACCCCTCACACGCTTGCTTTGCCAATACCTGCGGGTGCTAAGGCTTCTTCCCTATTGTTTCTGCCCCTCCAGATAAAGTGATAGTGACTGATAATGAGAGCTGTTCTCTCTATTTGTATGTGAAATAAACCAAACTAGCTTAAACCACTTACGCAATCTTGAATTAATTTTTTTTTTTTACTGAAGGAGAGATGAGACCAAATCCTTATTTGCAAATAAGTAGTGCTTTGGGGAACTAAAATGGATTCTTTTTCTTTTTTTTTTTTTTAGCCCATGGGAATAAATTGGTTACCAGCAGCTGAGGGTCTGCGCAAAGTATGGGATCTCCTTTGCTGCATTCAGTAACAAAGTTCTCCGTTTCTATCATCAGGGCAAGCAAAAGGTCTTCTGCTGGTAAGACTTGCCGGAGTGGAGTTGGCTCCGAGGGGCATGGCCTGGTTACAGCAAGAGCTAAAACCCAAACAAATGATATGGTTCCAGCTTCTGGGAAGGGAGGACTTGGCACTCGAGTGCCTTGTCTTAGTAAATAAGGTAAATACAGTGACAAAAATTGACTTTTATCTGCAGTTTTGAGTTGTACTGAGATAACCAAATTGCCTAACTACAGTCAATTTAAGGAATGTTGTTATTTATAAGTTATCTGTCTTGATACCAATTTTAAATGTTGCATTTGTAAAGACCAGTATTTTTGCAGACTGATTCATGCCAGGAGCCGTATTTCTGTGTCAGATAGCGCTAGGCTATATTGTGTAGTTCTGATCAGCCTAATGTTTAGTCTATCAAATGTCTTGTATCAGTATTAGGTTTTAACAGTCAGCTGGATTCCTCTTTAACTTTTAACTCCTTCTGCCAGAGCGTAGATTTAGCCGTAAGTAAAGCTTGTATCTGAGAGAGACTTCACATAAAAAAAGAAAGAAAACTGTTTTAGAGGGGAAGTGAATATTATACATGATATGATTATTATATATTGTATAATGTATTTTACATATATCATATTTACTGTGCCTTTTTATAGGGTCGATTTCTGAGCGTGTGCTTAAATGAAGAGATCTTGAGACAAGGGCTCGGCAGAACAGCACGTATTGAAGGACTACATCATGATTCCCGCCTGTACTGGAAACTTCACAAAAGGCTCCTTCGAGCAGAGTTAAGGGCCTTGAAGAAAAATAAAGGAATATGGAAAGAAGAAAGCTACTCTGAAAGAATTAGAGGTCATATAAGGGACAGTAAATTTGTACAGACATTGAAACAATTTGTGAGCTGGTTAAGAAGCTCTGTTTAAAGGTAAAAAGGGAGACTTGTTTGGAGGAATGCCAGTTACCTGCGTTATGTGCTTTATATAAAGTATAAGTTCATGATGAAAAACAGTGCCGTAATTTTGAGGGTCCCTAGCGTGAACAGAAAACCCATAGTTACTTAATGCCATATTATAACCCATATGGGATTGAAATTTAGTAATAGTACGCAGGCCACAAATGACAATGTTCTGAAGCCAAACTTTTCCACAATAATGTCCTAAATTAGTTGTCCAGTTTTTCACCTGCTAAATCCCTACACATCCATGTTAACCAAGTAGTGAAAGCAGCCGAGGGTCCGCTTTTTCAGAGGTGCAGAGTGTTAGTTCACAGCGTACGGACTTAAATGCTTCTCTGTTACATGTCATTACCGTGTAGCCCACATTGGTTAGAAAACTCCATTTCAGACCTCTACAAACAAAGCTTGTGATACGTATTTACGTGTGAGCATTTTGTTTGAATTCTATTCTTACACTACTTTTTTAAAACACAAATTATACACAAATCTTTCTTCTCGAATAATGGGTTGCATTGTTACTGATACAAAAGGTAATTTGTTATGGCTGATATTAAAAAGCTGATAAAGTCATAACAACTAAAGTTTCTCAGAAAAAAAAAAAAATCACTCAGTATAATATAAATTAATGTCAGTAATCCAAATTGTTGGAAGACAACATTCACCTGAAGAGGAGAAACCTATGCTGTTTTTTCCGATGGTTCTATAAATATCTAAAGTTAGATGAAAATAAAACTTTAATATGAAATTTGAAAAGGTGGACCATACTGTACTAAGCACTTAAATTCTTGTTTTATTTTTGAAACACATGTTAAGTATATGAGAGCGTATTATTATTTATTTTGTAAATATTCTCAGAATAAAGATTGCATTTCGTATGTTCATTATTACGTTTATATACCAAGCACTTGACCTTTGTTTAACCTCTCACAGTCCCAATATTTATTTATTTAAAGTGAAGCGTTGTACAGATTTTCTTTCTTTCTGTGTGATTCCTTGCCAATGAAATACTAGGGAGAAGAGTGTGGTACAAAAAAAATCTTAATAGCTGAGCATCGCTTGCCTGACAATTAGTTGCCACGTGATTGTTTTCTCTGCTGACTTCAGGGCAAAATTGTGAATCCTGAGATTCTAAAAAAACAGGCAGCTTTTCCTCGGGTAAGAATAGATGTCAGTGCTTCTTTACTACTTTTGTTTCTGGGTCCTCTCAGGGGTGAGGCTGGGTTTTGCAAAGGGCAGCGAGCAGCCAGCCGTGAAGTACCTGCACTGCAGATCCCGGTGTCGGAAACCAATGTGGGGGAGAGGGGAAGCAGCTCTGTGGGCAGAGGCAGACCTCGATGGGAGCTGGAAACCAGGTACCTGTGCCTGTTTAATAAAAAAAAAAGAAAAAGTGAGGCATCTAGTTTTATGCAGCATACAGTGAAGGGCTGGGCCGACCACTGCTGTGGTACTTGGACATAAGTCATACAGATGGTCAGGGATTCAGGACCAGCCATAGCATCCTCTGAAGCAAAACTCAAAGCTGACTTTTAACCCCAAACTAAAAATTCAGTATCGGCAATAATCCACTTCTTATGGGGGATTATGGGGGATATGTGTTCCTGTTCCATCATCTTGTAAGTAGGAAGAGCTTTTCCAAACTGGGCATAATTGCACAGTTGTAATGTTTTGTTTCTGTAATAATTAAATATAATTCTAGCTAGACTTTGCGCTTCTGTTTTGTAAATGAGTGACAGGAGGATTTATCACAAAAATCCACTGTAAAGCTGAGAGAAAAATCTCCGGAAACTGTGTGCTACATTTCTAGCAAGCAGAGGTGAAGTGTGGGTGAATGTGAACCAAGTCTGTTCCCTCACAGTCTTGCCTCTTAGCCCTTTTTACCCTTGATGAAGTTCAGAAAAGCCCTAGAGATTTTTCTAAATTACAGCAAATTGCTGTGTCTTTTCCATTAGGTTGTGGCTTAAGGATTTTTAAAAGGCGGCAATACAGCTGCTTTATCACTTACGTCGAGGAAGCCTCCCCTTGGTCTGAACTAAATTTTTAAAGTTCACTTCCCTATATTGGTGGCAGTGAGGTAGTCTAACAGAAATAATTTCGGAAGGACCTATGGAGAGGGATATCTAAGTCTTTGAATTCAGGCCCCTGATCTCTTTTCATGTTTTTTGCACAAGACAAGAAGTTTTGGTGATGTGCTCTTACTACAGTTCTTGGTCAGAATACAAACCCAGGGAAGCAGCTTTGTGTGCGGCATCAGTGCTGTAAAGAACAACACTGGTCTCACAGAGAGTAACAAGTGGTGTGGGATTTGGGATTGCAGTGACAAATGATTTCACGAGAGTGAACTCCTGTAATTGTTTGTTAATGCTGTATTCCTTATCATCCAGGGCTTATCTGTTTAAAAAAACAACAACACACCCTCCCCCCTCAAAAGAAGCACAACTCAGTTCAAAGCTGTGTTTTCCATCTGGGCAAGGCTTGAGAGGTTGCAGATCTTGTCTCTGTGGGAGGCCTGTCCATTGAAAGAGCGGTAACAGGAGTAGAAACAAATAGCTCTGCAGAACCGAGCTGAGGAGCTGACTGGGAGGTTGGGGGAGAAAACGCAGTTTTCTCCATTATATAAAAACACCCCACGCTGCCTCTGAGGAGCACTATCCCATTCCTTTAGCCACAGCAGCAATGCATATCAGACAACTTCCAAGCAGAGGATGCAGTTCTTGTGTGATTAGGAATAAGGACAAGAATAAAACTCTGTTAACTCTTGTGCCTTTGCCCCTGCAACTCTGAATACACTGCGAGCAATACCACGTTTTAAAAAGATCATGGGCAGTGAAAGGAGAGGCCTCCAAGTGGCCCACTAAGAAAAATACTCCCAGCCTTGCACAGGCTTTTTATTGCTGGTGTGGCATGTAAGGCAAATGGTTGTCATAAACATTGCCAGCTTTCCTCGGAGCCCACCCAAAGGCGGTGGGCACGGTGCTGTCAGCATCCCTTCCTGACAGACTCACCGCAGATGGAGCGAGGCCTCGCTGCTGCCCAGCGATGGGTGTCTGGGGGGGCTTCCCCCTCCCAGGGTCCCTGGGGCAGTCGCCTTCCTCAGGTCACCTCTCCTGTTCATTGCGACGTCCCTGCTTTTCTCCCGGTCTGTCAGAGCTCACACCTGCTCTTTCCACATAAAACACTCCTCAGTCACCCACGGGACCATCAGATGTAACGAGTTACAGTTTCGAAAGCAGAGTTTTAGACTTAACCTCCTCCAGCAGAGAGGCGCGTTCCCTCATGGCCGTCGGTACGTCAGGGAAATCAGAGC